TTAACTGTTTCGTGAGGTGTACAAGAATCTATGAGCAATGATATCTGAGATAAGCTGAAGATAGTAAAATAACAAATAGAGTTTTCTTTTATTTTGAATGAAAAACATTTTTTTTTAATGATTTGATTTTTTCCGTTCCAAGAAAATCAAAAGAAAGGGAGAAATGAGAATAAGTAGGAGAAAAAAGACATTGATCAAAATCTTATGTCCAAAAGTTGTGCATAAATCAATCAGTTTTCTTGATTATAGTCTTTCAACTTTATGCCTGTTTTCTTGATTATAGTCTTTCAAATTTCAGAGAAGTACTTGATATATATGCCGATTGTCTTGGATTCTCTTTAAAATCATTTTCTTCCTATTACCTTGTTAATGATACCAAAACATTTACATTCATTTTGAATAGGTGATAGCAACATTTTCAGACAGTAAGTAATTTTTAATAGATAACATAAAAATATTTAAGAAAACGTTTCGGAAAAGTTGAATGATGTTATTGAATATCCCAGTATAACTAAACAGATAAAATTTTAGAGTATAAAAACATGAGACAAAAATTAGTAATCATCTAAAGCAAAACACAGGCAAGAGTAAACTACAGTAGTAACAAATGTATCCGCAACTAAAAAAACACGTGGTCGACAACTCGACAAAACTTATCTGCTCTGAAATGTATATAAATTAATACTATGTGATTGATTAAATTTGCAACTTTATTCATGGAGTCAACTCACTACCATGTGGAATCAGCTCAAGTTGATTGCAGTCAAATTTTAAGCTCAAACTTTAGTTATCCATTAAACTATATTATACTTTGCATTATTGCATATCTTTTTACTATCTATGACTTATTATGGATGATTTTTCTATATTTTACTTTACAATCCCAAATATCACTGACTCATAACTGGTTGAATCGACTCTGAATATTACAACTATATACTTAATAAATTATTTTTGATTTTACGCAACTTTCAATATAATGTACGAGAACACTAAACATATGTATTATTCTAAGAAGACTTTTTATTCATCAACCGAGTTATTTTATTTCATTATAATCCAAACAACAATCCAAAGCATACATAATTATGAACAAGTCTTCCAGACACCAGGTTTCTCCTTGTCAGCTAACCTGCAGCCAATAAATCAAAGTTAATTTACGAGATTACAAGGAAATGTAGAGAGAGAGACAGATTGTTCTATGTGTTATTAATATACCCGAGCTCTGAAGACTTCTGATGAGCTTTCTCCGTATAGTCTTTGATGGAGGCATCCTCCTCACCTGAGAGAGTAGCTTGCTGTTCTTGTTTAATTTCTCCCTTGTTTTGTATGAGCAAAGGGACACACAAGCCAACCATCAATGGGACACAAAAGCAAAGGGACACAAGCCAACCATCAATGTCTTTTTGCAGCTACATTCTTTGGTGAAGGAAAATGAAAAACTGAGAGTGAATCAATTTTTAGTGGGAAATAAGTACCAAAGAAATGGACCTTATGCTGGAGAAAAAGAGCTGCCTTTTCACGCAGATGGTCCTGGAATCGAGGCATTTGCTGAAAGTCTGCAGGCAGGTATTCAGTTTTTTTGCTTTGGAAGAATATGGACGAAGCAAAATGTAGATGATTATGGGATGTGAAAACCAGAGCATCTCTTGTACTAATCTTATCTGGTATTTGAACAGGTGGATGAGAGAACAAGGGCAGTACCAGAAACAGAAAAGAGTAGCATGAACACGGAGATGAGAAGAGCAAGCAACTTGAAATGGATACCAGTTTTGGCCACAGCTTTTGTGCTGTTTCTTTCATTCTTTTCTTTGGCTGTTGTTAAAGAAAAATATAGTTCCATTTGAAGATATGTTTATCTCTCTCTTGGCAATAGCATTAGCCATTTGTATATTATGTTGTATATACTCATTATCGCGTGTATTCATTTTAAGCAATGTATCTCCACTGTTGGTTTATTTCCCTCTACAGAAACAAATCCACCACTAATGAAGTTTTCCAAAAATTGAGAGATCTCAAGCTGGAGTGGTAACGCACAATAATGTGTAATCAAATAGTATCTGACTAAACTTGGTAAAACCTTCAAACAAAAGATTTGTTGCCGTTTAACTTTCTTCTATAAAAGAAGAAGACAATCCATTTCTCTTGTCATCATCACTTACACAATCAAATAAACAAGAAAAAGATTTTGAGGTTACAAATTAGAAATGGAGAAAACGTCTCTCAAGCTTGTCTTCTTGTTCTCCTTCACAATAATATTATTTTGTATGCTTCTTCTATGATGACTTCTTTATTATATAGTTTTTGCTTTGGTCCTTTTTTTGTTGAAGTTTTTGTGGTGTGTTTTTGCAAAGGTTCATCTTTGGGTGATGCAAGAGAGATGGTGAAAGAAGTGAATTGCCTCGGTGGTAACTTCTTGCCGCAAGTAGCACCTACAATGGACACTTTATGAGACCAATGCGTTTTGCCGTAGAGGCAACGACTGCATCCAATACTGTCCTAAGGGCTGCAAGATTGTTAACTGTAATTTCGGAACCTGTTTCTGTGAGTGTTAAGAAATTGGAAACCACAATAATTTCTACTTATAAGACAGAGAGGAACAAGAGATTTCAAATAGATATAGAAAACTGTTTAAATCAGTTTACTATTCTCCTCGAAAAGAATATCTCTGCACCACTCAAAACAGTTGGAATTATTATATACAATTAAGTATTGAAGGCCTAAAACATGTTTTCTTGTGGCCTCAGATGTCATCCTTTTGGGAAGTAAATTTAAAATCATCACTTATATCAACCAAATTACTAACATTATTCCCTTTGGCCGATTGCCACATGGGGTCAATTTTTTCCCAAAAATTTGGTTTCTTAGCCGCATGCAATACCCATGTATCAGAGAGAATCTTAATCCCTAATCTACCCAGCTAGGGTTTATGATACGATATTGCATGCAGCTAAAAAACCAAATTTCTGGGAAAGATTGACTGACCCCATGTGGCAATCGGCCAAGGAGGATAATGGTAGTAATTTTGGCTGCAGCTTTTTGATCTTCAAAGCTTAAAGACCCGCCACTGGCAAAACTCTTGGACACTGATGAATTTTTTCCACTACCCATCTTTGTTAAATCTCATCTGAGAATAACAAATCATGTAAAAATAACTTTCGAACTTCAAAAAACTTGATAAACAAGAATTTTGAATATCGAATAAAAAACTATTAGGTCTCATAATTTTATATCTCTGATACCATGTAGATTTAGATATTGATCTGACTTGGTTTCATTAGATGCACAAACTTGTGCTTATATACAAGACAATGTGGAGTTAATACAACACTAGTTTTCGATGTGGGATAAAAGTATTATAGCATTATTAACATATCATTATATAATATGGGCTTCACATTATGGGCTTAATAAGGTATATATCTCGATGCCATGAAACGTTTGAAAAAAGCTCCCGAGTATCTTGTTTGTGATCTCGTCTACAAAAGGAAAGAGTCACCGAATTTTCTACCATCACAAAACCTTAAAATGCAATTAGAGGCAAAGCTTTTTTGGAATCTTTACGCCACCGTACCGGTAGGAAACAAAACCGACCAGTGGTGTGGAGATTTCGGCGACGAGAGGTTCTAAGCGAGACAAAATGCGTGCGATTCTTTGAAAATTGTTGGCTAAAGTCGCTAACGAGGTTGTTGAGACAGAGATAAAGAAATGAGTCGTTTCTTGCGATCTTTGGACTTTGGATATGTCGGTGGAATCTGCCGTGATTGAGAAGTTAGGTTGTTTCTAGGGGGCTCAGAAAGCAAAATACCAATCAATTGGGAGATAGTAACAAATTAACAATCCCAGAAGGAAGAAAGTGCTAATTGGTGAGATCAATGGATATAGATTGGTGAAGATGGATAAAGAAAAGATGGCGAGCGACAAGATTCAGATGGAAGTTCAACAATTCAATGAAAGAGGTACGGCTTGTTCCTAAAAACATATTGTTCAATGAAAGAGATACGACTTGTTCCTAAAAGCATATTGTTCAATGAAAGAAATAAAATATTAAATACAATATAAAAATCCTTATCTAAAAATGCTTTCAAATTATGTATAGATATTTAGAATTTTCATTTTTATTATAAAAATAAATAAATGAGTAGACTGGAGATTTAGATGAAACTTAAAATGAGACTATTGCATTAGGAAATTAATTTATTAGGTTTCAATGTCTTCAAATGTTTAGTGAAAATATGGATGAGGTCAATAATTTGGATCTTAAGAGAATAACATTGGCTATAAGATTTTAAGTGGGTGTACTTGCCACCTCCTTAATGCAAGTAGATCCGCCACTGCATATTCATAACATTATTGTTTATATATTATGGGAGAGATAAAGAGATATGAAGCAAATCTAGCTTCCAAAAACCCTAGAAAAATACATAATAGAAAAAAAGATTTGACTCACTTTTCAGAAAAAAAACTCACATTGCTTAATCTTTCTTTTATGAACAATAGCTTATTTTTGCTTCTCGCCCAAAAAATGTTTTGTTTCAATTTATGTGTCCATCTCTCTGATTCTCTCTCTCTCTTTTTTTAATTAATTACCAAGTGTTTGATCAATGCCTTTAAATTCGCTCCAATTTGAAGCTTTAAAACTTGTCATATTGGACCATCAAGCCTTGAATCTTCATTCGCTATCTTTTGAATTCTCATCTAGGAGTTTTCTCTGAGACTGTATGAGCTTTAACTCGTCTTTAAATTTACTGTAAATCTCTTGAATTGTTATAAACTGATCATTTCCTGAAAAAAGAGAGAGATCTCAAGTTAGACTAACTTTTTTTTATATTTTTGGTCAACGTTGGACTAATTAAAATGTAATCAATAATATCCGACTCCACTTGGTAAAACCTTCCATCACAATATTTGTCAATTTTCTTTCTATACAGAAGACAATCTAACTTCTCTTCATCACTTGTACAATCAAAATAAACAAGAAAAAATCTTGAGATTTAGCAATGGAGAAAACGTCTCTCAAGCTTGTCTTCTTGTTCTCCCTCACAGTCATAGCATTTTGTAAGCTTCTTCTTTGTTATATAATTTTTTTGGTTTGTATTTGTATTAAAGTTTGTGGTGTTGTATGTGTGAAGGTTCGTTTTTGGGTGATGCAAGCGAGATGGTGGAGGAAGAAGTGAGTTGCCTAGGCTGCAAATGTCCCGAAGGAAACAAGAACTGTAACTGTTTGCCGCGGGTAGCACCTATAATGGAGTCCACTGGTGTTTGCGAACATGACATTTATTGCAAGAAGTACTGTCCTCCAGAATGCAAGTCTAAGAAAAGAACCTGTGTCTGTGCCTGTAATGGTGGACACTGTTTCTGTCAGTGTTAGGAGTTCAAAAAAAACACTGTATTATACTTATAAGATAGATAGGAACAAACAATAGACACATTCAAATCAATTTATTACTCCCACTTTGATAACATGGCTCCGCTCCCGCTCAATACAATTGGAATTTGATACAATTTAAGTTCTAAAAGGCCCTGAGACAGGTCCAATCATGTTCAAACAATGTGTTTAAGTTCCAAAACGTTTCTCAGATTTCCAGCAGCTATCTATGTTTCTTTCACTGCTAACAAGAGCTTCCGAGAAATCTCCGTCTCTGCAGAATTTTTGCGCACTCTTGTTAAGAATTTTCTAAGAGCGAGGATCAGTCGCAGAGGGCTCTCGAGATGGACAGTGTGACCAGCTTCTGGGACTAACTTTTTTTATATTTTTGGTCAATGTTGGACTAATTAATATGTAATCAAATAGTATCCGACTCAACTTGGTAAAATCCTTCCATCAAAATATTTGTTAACTTCCTTCTATACAAAGAAGACAATCCAACTACTCTTCCTCACTTAGCACAATCAAAAGAAAAAAGAAAATATCTTGAGATTTACAATTAGCAATGGAGAAAACGTCTCTCAAGCTTGTCTTCTTCTTTGTTATATGATTTGTTTGGTTTGGTTTTGTATTAAAGTTTTTGGTGATGTATATATGAAGGTCCGTTTTTGGGTGATGTGGTGTGTTGTGGGTGTCAAGTTTTACCCTAATTGAAATCAATAGCCGCAAGTGCACAGCTGATCGATTGTAGTACTTAGGGATCGAATCCACAGGGAATGAGGATCTTTTCCTGCAAAAAGCCTTTGAAATAAGTTAAAGTAAGGAAGTCTAGAAAAAAAACAGTTTTGTGGGGGTTTGGTAGTGTGTTTAAAATGTAAAAAAAAACGAAATATTAAAAGAGAATACGAGAATTAAATGACGTAATAACTAAACTTAACGAAAATGACTAAAAAGGATAAAAACAGATATTCTAATGCTTAAATGAAAATGAACTAAAAAGGAAAGACAATATTGAACTAAAGCTTGAAAGAAAATCGGTGTAAATCAATAAGGAAGAAGGCGTTGGGCTTCAGGGAAGTTTTCTCAGGGGTACGAACGATTCAAAACATTGCTAGAGAGTAAAATTGATAAGATCTTAGCTTAAAATTTTCGAACTGGAGTCACGGACGTATGAATACGCCATTGTCGTGATCATAGACAACTATCTCTCTCAATCCTGACCAGTAGGTTTCCACTCTGGCCCTGGAAGAGAAGAGATGCATTATGTTTAAGACTCGTCCTAATTCACAAATCGCCCATAGGTAGGTTTCCACTCCCATATTTGTTTTCCTCTCCCAAACTAGATCTGATACCTGATGAACACTTTCGTGTCACCAAGCATCTGGATCAGATTGTAGTTCATGACGCTACTCTCATGCAGTAAAAACGAATTCAGAAGAAAAAGTTCTAAGATTCGGCTCAAAAGCTCATGGAATCCTCATCGAACATATAAATCCCCATCGAAAATCCCTTAATCCCAACAATAAAACTACTCAGACATAATGAACGAAATCAAAGACATAGTATTAAGAAGTAGAATAGAAACCGAAATTGAAAAAGAAAGAACAAGGGTTCAAGAGAACAAATCTCTCTCTCCCTAAAAGCTAAAGCAAAAACAATAAAAATATGAAGTAATTATTTCGGTGGCTGATCGGTTCTCTCTCGTTTAGGGTTCATAAGACATGTATTTATAGTGCTCAAGACCTCTCTGGACGTCACTTAGGGTTTCTCCAAATGAGGGAATCATTGTGGGCTTCAGAAATGGGCTTTTGGGCTCGGAGTTTGATGGCCGCGGTCGGGAGTGCTGTGACCGCGGGGAATGTATGGTTTGCCGCGGCCGGGATGCTCCTGACCGCGGGGAATGAGTGTTTGGCCGCGGGTGGAAGTGCTTGCCGGCTGGTTTACGGGACATCTTGCTCTTCGCGTATCTTTTGATTGAACCGTTGGATTGCCAAGCTGTAAAGTGCACTGGAAAGCTGATACTTCCATCTTTAAGGTCTCCAAATTTGAGCTGGATCAGACGGTGAGAAGGCCTTCAATCAGGGGTGAACTTTTGACGGTTTGACTCTGAGCTGAAATCTGGTTTTCTATCCATTTTGTTAAGTTTTTCCCTAAGTTACCTGAAAAGAGTCTTGGAACTACAAATACTAGAAAAACGTAATAAAAGTACTTAAAAGCAATTAAAAACATAGAAAAAGTATTTCAAAACGATCCATAAAAGTGGTCAAAATACGGTGTTATCATAATGCAAGAGAGATGGCGGAGGAAGACGTGAGTTGCCTAGGCAGCAAATGTCCCGAAGGAAAGAAGAACTGTAACTGCTTGCCGCAGGTAGTACCTATAATGGAGTCCACTGGCGTTTTCGAACATGACAATGACTGCAAGAAGTACTGTCCTCCAGAATGCAAGTCTAAAAAAAGAACATGTGTCTGTGCCTGTAATGGTGGACACTGTTTCTGTCAGTGTTAAAAAGTTTCAAAAACCACTGTAATTTATACTTATAGACAGAGAGGAACAAACAATAGAAAATTTCAATTTCAAATCAATTTATTACTTTCCTTTGATAACATGTCCCTCAACACAATTGGAATTTGATACAATTGAAGTACTAAAAGGCCCTGAGACAGGTCCAATCATTCAATTTCCAGTAGCTTGCTATGTTTCTTTCAGTACTAGCAAGAGCTTCCAAGAAAGCTCAGTCTATGCAGAGTTTTTGCGCACTCTTGTTAAGAATTTTCTAAGATCTAGGATCAGTCGCAGAGGGCTCTCGAGATGGACAGCGTGACCAGCTTCTAGGATTTCAACCAGCTCAATAATGTTGTTTTCGCTCTTCTTGCTTTTACTCATCTTGTGGTACATTCTAGTAGCAATCTTCTTGAATTTGACATCTTTCTCTGCGAAGACAAGCGAGATATTTGTATCAAAATCCTCCAGCTCTTCCCATAATGACCTATTTTTCAAAGGAAATAACATCATCATCTTCGTCAAAGATAATCATCATCCACGAAAGCAAAAAGGTTGCATAAATGAACTTACGGTTGTCTCCCACTTCTTAGATCCAAGAGGAGCTTTGCAACACTAAGGACATCATCATGTACCAAGCGGCTTGCAACTATTTTTCTAAATGAGGATGCCTTCTCAAACTACTCATTGCAAAACTCACTCATATGAGTATGAAATTCAAGTCCATATAACAAAGTCATCAAATTACACAAAGTCACACTGTATTAAGAAAGTCACCTTTTCCACAAGCCTCCGTTGTACCAGTTCTCCAAAAAGATTTCTAGTCCATGGTCAACCAGCATTCATGCTTTAGAATCATCTGTTGCACTTCGAACATTCCTTGCCATTGGATCCTTGAGTCCGGGGCTCCCCGATACAACAACAACTCCTTCGATCTATAGAACAGCATCCAAATTCCATTATCAACATTACTACACAATACTGAATTTTCAGACAAAGGAACCCACCTTGTTGCTAAACCTCAACGCCATATACAATGCTATTCTTGCTCCCATGGAATACCCAACTATAGTAACTTTCCCAGGAGTGATTTGGTCAATCAACTTATACAGTGTCGTTGCTATCATTTCCATTGAGAAAATCGGCATCTTCTGGGTCTCGCGAGCATGACTTTGTACTGAAATGCATCTCGTGGATCCCAAGATACCTTCATGATAGGGAGCCATTCTTCACCAGTTCCAAGAAACCCATGAAGAAACAAAGCTACACCTCCTTGAAATACGCAGGGTGAAAAACAAGGGAGAAATTAAACAAGAACAGCAAGCTTTAAGTCTTCTTAGCTTTGCTCATACAAAAAAATATGAAATGATCAAGTGATTAAAATATAGATATATATATATATATATAATGATGAAAATCTATGAAATGATAAATGAGATGTATAACTTACTGCAGCATCTCTCTCAACAACCGTCTTGGATTCTGCTTCAATCAATTTCTCCCGTTACGCCTCTGTTAATGATAGAAACATTTACAATCATGTTTACTTTTGGAGAGATGACAGCAACATTTTCGTTTCTAGGATATTTAGGAGACATAAGCATTTGACTCAAAAAATCATATTTCTAAATATTAGTATTGCTGAGTGGTTTATACGTTGTTTAACTGATATCATGATCGGTTTTGGTGTGTTTGTAAGTGGAGAGTTTCTGAGGAACAATCAACATTTACAACATTGCATGGATTACTAGATTGACTTCCTCTCCAGATTTTTACTAGAATAACTCTAATTTTATGCTAATAAGACCCTTAAACCGTAACTTGTTTTACTAATCACAGATTTGCCATTTTTAATTAAGTTTTGAAGGAAAAATATTCACTTTCCCCCATCAAACGTTTTTATCCAGTTATTTTAAATTTTAAAAAATTTATGCTAATATTGTGCAAAATGATACGATTCTCTTTCCTAAATCCCCTTCAGTCATATTTTCTTTCTAAATTTCTCAGTCACGATTTTATTTTCCTAAACAAAAAATTCTCTCAAAGAAACAAAATCATCTAATCTAGCCGCCGTTAAGTCACCTTTGTGCCGAAGCGATTTCCAATTGGAAAACGTAAGCCGGTCTCGTTGTCTCAGTCGAAGTAGCAATCCGTTTTCAGTCGTACTCCTCCACTGTCCTGGTGACCTATAAATCTGCCCTTGTCATTTCCAGGTAAGAGTTTATTACCGGTAAGTTGTTTCCCACTCTAATCGATTTATTTTGTTTTGCATCTTGGCGCCATTGAATTTTTTTAACATGCATCTGTTTTTCATCTGGAGTAAATCTTCGTGTTAATTATTGCAAATTTACTGAGTTAGTTTGTATATCTTTGCAGGTATGGCTTCTTCAAGTTCAATAAGAATGTACCCTCAACGAGAGTATGAACTGGGAAAAGCACCGATTCAATTGTCAATCCCAAACAAACAGCCATCTGCAATTGTCAAATCGCCAATGACCATA